TCGGGTTATAGGGTCCCCAGCCCACTATAAATACAGGGGTTTTTGGTGCTAGGCTTGTTAGAAGCTCGCTGTGTGGCCCAACTAGTTGATAGCTGGCCTTGTTATCTAGATTTCGGTTAACAAGATCTAATATTATTACTTATTTTAATAACTAGGTTTATAATTATTCTTACTTAAAGGTAAGTTAAGTTTAGCTTAGCTTTAACTTATAATCTTATTACTCTTATATATTAATTAATTACTTTATAAGTTTCTATTAACGCTAAAACCCGTTTAATTTTACCCTAGCTTTAAGCTCGCTATTATTCCTAAGCCTTAAGTGTATTCCCCTATCTATTCCCTATGATTCACAAACACCCCCCCCCCCCCCCCCCCCCAACGGTATAGTAGTGAAATGAGGGGTAATATTACTGAGGACACTTTAGGTAGAAATGATAGAGAAGGAGACTAATCAATATAAGTTATAACTAATACCCCAAAACTATTATACAGGCCTCCTAACGGGGTTCTCATTCAGGCTGCCCCCTAGGCTTTTACCCGTTGGCAACTAAGTGGGCTAGCCACTTAGTTAGCCGTAAAATTCCGGGACAGCCACAAAACACCGGGACAGTCCCCACCTAGACCTTTACATGTAAATTGCTTATACGGGTATAAAAGCACGATTTTTTTTATGTTACGCGGCTTTATAAAGGTAAATATATATAATTCCAGCTATTAGAAGGCCTTTAAGTGTGTATATATTTAATAAAAATGTAAAAAATAGCGGATTTAAGCCCTTTTAAGCTATAAAGAGATCGGTTAAATTAGGCTCGGCTGTAAAAGCTGCCTATAGGCGCCCGCGATATTTAATAAGCTTTTATAGAAATAACTAAAGATTCTATTTATTTATAGCTACTTTATTAGCTTAATACTCTTTAATATACTACCGAATTTAATTATAAGGCCTTATACGAGCTACTTTAATTAATACGTGCTATTAAGAGTATAATAAGCCTAGTAGTAATAATTATAGTAGCTAATTAGGCTTAATAAGGGTATTTTTAGTGTATTAAGTAGCTTCTTAAGCGATTTAAGTGTTAAATTTATTATAAATATTATTATTATTATTATTATTAAAGGCTTTAAGGTTAAATTAAATGGTATTATTACTATTAAGATATTCTAGAAAGATTTAATCTATTATTAATAAAATTAAGCGATCTTATTATTATTAAGCTTTTTAAATAGCTTCTTAGACCTTAGGAAGGTGCAGAGCATTAACAAGAAAACTACATTTTCAATTTTTAAAAAAGCTTAAATAATTAATAATAAATCTAATAAAATACTTGAATTATAAT